GAAGCTCCAGCTAGTCCAGCGCGCGGCAGCCATGTTGTTAACCGGAGCGGGACGCAGGGAGCACACAACGCCCCTGCTGTCCCAGCTCCACTGGCTGCCGATTTGCTACCGGGCCCAATTTAAGGTGCTGGTGTTATCCTACAAAGCCCTAAACGGTTCCGGCCCAAAATACCTTGCGAACCGCATCTCGGCCTACGAGCCCACGAGGACCTTGAGATCATCTGGGGAGGCCCTTCTCTCGGTCCCGCCTGCCTCACAGGCACGCCTGGCGGGGACGAGAGAGCGGGCCTTCTCGGTGGTGGCCCCTCGGCTATGGAACTCCCTCCCTGCTGAAATCAGACAGGCGCCTTCCCTCATGGCCTTTCGCAAGGGCCTGAAAACCTGGCTCTTCGAAAAGGCCTTCAACTAAGTGCTACGTTGTTGGAATGACCACCGGAATGTACTATGACTATGAGATTGATTATGACTCCAAACTAGACGAATGCGGATTTTTAGTTTAATTCGTTGTTGTATTGGTCTTGATTTATTGTAAACTGTTGTCTTTTTCTATGTTCTGTACACCGCCACGAGTCGCCCTCGGGCTGAGAGTGGCGGTTAACAAGTGCAAATAATAAATAAATAAATAAATAATGGTATGATAAGAAACAAAGATGGCAGGGACCTAACAGAAGCTGAAGAGATCAAGAGAAGGTGGCGAGACTATACAGAAGATCTGTATAGGAAGGATAATAATATCGAGGATAGTTTTGACGGTGTGGTGAATGAATTAGAACCAGACATCCTGAGGAGTGAGGTTGAATGGGCCTTAAGAAGCATTGCTAACAACAAGGCAGCAGGAGACGACGGGATTCCAGCTGAACTGTTTAAAATCTTAAAAGATGATGCTGTCAAGGTGATGCAGGCCATTTGCCAGCAAATATGGAAAACACAAGAATGGCCATCAGACTGGAAAAAATCAACTTATATCCCCATACCAAAAAAGGGAAATGCGAAAGACTGCTCAAACTTCCGTACAGTGGCCCTCATTTCTCATGCCAGTAAGGTAATGCTCAAGATCCTGCAAGGAAGACTCCAGCAATACATGGAGCGAGAGTTGCCAGATGTTCAAGCTGGGTTTAGAAAAGGCAGAGGAACGAGAGACCAAATTGCCAATATCCGCTGGATAATGGAGAAAGGCAGGGAGTTTCAGAAAAACGTCTACTTCTGCTTCATTGACTATTCTAAAGCCTTTGACTGTGTGGATCATAATAAATTGTGGCAAGTTCTTAGTGGGATGGGCATCCCAAGCCACCTTGTCTCTCTCCTGAGGAATCTGTACAAGGACCAAGTAGCAACAGTCAGAACTGACCACGGAACAACAGACTGGTTCAAGATTGGGAAAGGCGTACGGCAAGGCTGCATCCTCTCACCCAACCTTTTTAACTTGTATGCAGAACACATCATGCGATGTGCGGGGCTGGATGAATGCAAAGCTGGGGTGAAAATTGCTGGAAGAAACATTAACAACCTCAGATATGCAGATGACACCACTTTGATGGCCGAAAGCGAGGAGGAGCTGAGGAGCCTTCTAATCAAGGTGAAAGAAGAAAGCGCAAAAGCCGGGTTGCAGCTAAACGTCAAAAAAACCAAGATTATGGCAACAAGAATGATTGACAACTGGGAAATAGGGAGAAAACGTGGAGGCCGTGACAGACTTTGTATTTCTAGGTGCAAAGATGACTGCAGACGCAGAGTGCAGCCAGGACACCAGAAACTATTCCTTCTTGGGAGGAGAGCAATGATCAATCTTGATAAAATAGTGAAGAGTAGAGACATCAGACTGGCAACAAAGATCCGCCTAGTCAAAGCCATGGTATTCCCTGTAGTAACCTACGGATGTGAGAGCTGACCTTAGGGAGGGCTGAGCGAAGGAAGATCGATGCTTTTGAGCTGTGGTGTTGGAGGAAAGTTCTGAGAGTGCCTTGGACTGCGAGAAGATCCAACCAGTCCATCCTCCAGGAAATAAAGCCCGACTGCTCACTGGAGGGAAAGATACTAGAAACAAAGTTGAAGTACTTTGGCCACATCATGAGGAGACAGGAAAGCCTAGAGAAGACAATTATGCTGGGGAAAGTGGAAGGCAAAAGGAAGAGGGGCCGACCAAGGGCAAGATGGATGGATGGCATCCTTGAAGTGACTGGACTGACCTTGAGGGAGCTGGGGTGGTAACGGCCGACAGGGAGCTCTGGCGTGGGCTGGTCCATGAGGTAACGAAGAGTCGGAGACGACTGAACGAATGAACAACAACACCCCATATGCCCACATTTGAATAATGGTGGAGTTGGAGGGGGGATTGATTTTGCCATTTGGGAGTTGTAGTTGCTCTTTGATTGTTCACTTACAATCAAAGAGCATTCTGAACTCCACCAAAAATTCCATTGTTGGTGGAGTTCAGAATGCTCTTTGATTTTTGGTGAACTAGTCAAAGAGAAACTACAACTCCAATGACAAAATTGAACTCAATTTGGCACACAGAACTCCCATGACCAAGAAAATACTGGAAGGTTTGGGGCACTGACCTTGAGTTTTGGAGTTGTAGTTCACCTACATCCAGAGAGCACATGTGGACTCAAACAATGATGGATCAGGGCCATACTTGGGATGAATACTCAATATGCCCAAATGTGAACACTGGTGGAGTTTGGGGAAATAGACCATGGCATTTGGGAGTTGTAGCTGCTGTGATTTATAGTTCACCTACAATCAAAGAGCAACCCCACCAACTATGGAATTGGGCCAAACCTCCCACCCAGAACCCCCATGACCAATAGAAAATACTGTTTTCTGATGGTCTTTGGAGACCCTTCTGACATCCTCTCGCAACCCCATCTTGAGAAAAGATGACATTACTTGTCAAAGTGGGAGAAAGTGGGGGACGGGGGGAGAAGACCTTATAGTGAGATAGAGGAGCTAAATACCCTAATTGAATTCATTTCATTTGAATTATTATTGTTATTATTATTATTATTATTATTATTATTATTATTATTATTATTTGAAACACAACAAGATGTGTCCACAGCAGACACTCTGCTGGCTGTTGGAGTGGATCACACGTCGGACACTTCCCAAGCGTCTAGGACTGTGTGATGTATCAGCGAATAATGCATGCACATCTGAGTAAGGTGGCCTTTTGCAGCTGACAGATGGTAATTTCACCAGTGCCGACTGTGCTTAAGTGCAGGCAAGGTCTTGAGGCACTGCACCCAGTATGCTGATCACCACTGGGATGCCCTTGACTGGCTTGTGCCAGAGTATTTGCAGTTCTATCTTTAAATCCTCATATTGTGTAAGCTTTTCCAGTTGCTTCTCATCAATTCTGCTATCGCCTGGGATTACAACGTCGACAATCCATACTTGGTTTTTCCATGATTGTGAGGTCAGGAGTCTTGTGCTCCAAAACTCTGTCTCGGAACTCCCAGAGTAGTTTGACATGTTCATTTTGTGTAACTTTTCCCAGCCTGTGATCCCACCAGTTCTTTGTCACAGGCAGATGGTGTTTGTGACACAAGTTCCAATGAATCATCTGAGCAACGGTGTTATGCCTCTGCTTGTAGTCTGTCTGCGCAATCTTCTTGCAGCAGCTGAGGATGTGTTCCATTGCTTTATCTGCTTCCTTTCAGAGTCTACAGTTGGAATCTGTCGCCAGTTCTTTGTCACAGGCAGATGGTGTTTGTGACACAAGTTCCAGTGGAGCATCTGAGCAATGATGTTGTGCCTCTGCTTGTAGTCCATCTGCGCGATCTTCTTGCAGCAGCTGAAGATGGGATCCATTGTTTCGTCTGCTTTTTTGAAGAGCCCATACTTGGAATCTGTCATCGACTTTTCAATTCTAGTTTTGATGGCATTGATTCAAATTGCCTGTTCTTGGGCTGCAAAAATCAGGCCCTCCGTCTCTTTTTTCAAAGTTCCACTTGTGAGTCACATCCATTTTTTTCCTTGTCAGTTTTGCTCTCAATTTTTCCCAGGAACTGTCCATGGAGTGCCTTGTTATTATTATTATTATTATTATTATTATTATTATTATTATTATTATTATTATAATAAATTATTATATAGTTATAATTATTATTATTGCTGATATTATTATTATTGTCATTATTATTATTATTATTATTATTATTCCAGTACCTTCTGCTCTTCCCGTCCTACTTTTGTATGAGAAGCATCTCTGGAACATCTCACCACTTGTTGAAAAGGAGCAATAATAATAATCTTCATTTCAGAAAAATAGAATGTTAAAATTAGACTCCCCCTTCTGCCAGGCAGGAAGGCACAATCCAAGCCCTCCCGATAGATGGCCATCCAGCCTCTGCTTAGAAACCTCCAGAGAAGGAAACTTCACCAAACTCCCAGGTAGCAGCATATTTCCATTAAGTTGGAAGGGACCCCATCCCCAAAAGCTATCCAGTCCAACCCCCTTCTGCCAGGCAGGAAGGCACAATCCAAGCCCTCCTGACAGATGGCCATCCAGCCTCTGCTTAAAAACCTCCAGAGTAGGAAACTTCACCAAACTCCCAGGTAGCAGTATATTTCCATTAAGTTGGAAGGGAGCCCCCAAAAGCTATCTAGTCTGACCCCCTTCTGCCAGGCAGGAAGGTACAATCCAAGCCCTCCAGATAGATGGCCATCCAGCCTCTGCTTAGAAACCTCCAGAGAAGGAAACTTCACCAGACTCCTAGGTAGCAGCATATTTCCATTAAGTTGGAAGGGACCCCCCCCCCCAAAAAAGCTATCTAGTCTGACCCCCTTCTGCCAGGCAGGAAGGCACAATCCAAGCCCTTCTAACAGATGGCCATCTAACTTCCAGAGAAAGAGACTCCCAGGAAGGAGTAGATTTCACTGTGTTCTCTTTTGTTCTCATCTACAATAAACCGCTTTCCACATAAGATCTCATGACAAGCTGCTTAATTCTGACTAAAGAATTAAAGTTTGAGGCTAGAGAGGAAAGGAAGCCTTACCTGGCAACAAAACAAAGCAATAGCAGGCAATGATCCGAAAGGTCCTGAACGGATCCATCTTCCACGAGACGGTCGCTTCTATCTCCCCATTGAAATTCCAAGTGCAATGTTTAAGAAAACTATACAATCCCCCCTTTTATGGTCAATATCTCTGGAGCATGGAAAGAGCGCATGGATTCTGGGGTCCATGAGGGATGAGGCAGACCATCTCCATCAGAAGAAAGTGGATGAACGTTCAAAGTGCAGCACTCCCATCCCTGCTGGGAGATAACTAGTCCAATTCGCTATGTGAATGAATTGCTGTCAATGAGGAACTTCACTGCCCACTGGTCTCCTTCCACTTAAGAGGAGATGTTCCCATTGAAAATGAGAGAGATGCTTGATGGTTCCTCAAAGCTGGACTTGCTGTGAGGTGCTCCTCCGCCAAAGTAACTTCTCCTAAGGAAAACAAGAGGAACCAGAATGTAATTTGAGACCGTGAAGATGCTTTCTAGGAAAGCTTGTATTCACTACATAAACTACAACTGGAGGAGACTGGTGTGCATCTACGACTACGTCTTCTTCTGCTACTGCTGCTGCTGCTGCTGCTACTACTACTACTACTACTACTACTAATAATAATAATAATAATAATATCCTGCTTTATGCAAAGCAGCCTGTAACATTAAAATGCAATTTAAAATCCACAACATACATATATTAAATTGGAATTAAACATATGCATCAGTTAATGCAGGTCAACACCACTTTGAAAGTCATGTCCCAATGCGATGATATCATGGGATTTGTAATGCTTTGGTATCATAGGCAACAGTTGATGGCAACAGTCTTGGACAGCAATGGCTCCCAAAGTGACCCATTTAAGGTGAAATCCAGTGTCAAACAGGGATGTGTTATTGCTCCAACTCAATTCTCCATCTTCATCGCTATGATACTTCACCTTGTTGACGGGAAGCTTCCCACCGGAGTGGAAGTCATCTATCAGACAGATGGCAAGCTGTTTAACCTCAGCAGACTGAAAGCCAAAACCAAGGTTACAACAACATCTGTTATAGAACTCCAGTATGCTGATGACAATGTCGTCTGTGCGCATTCAGAAGAAGATCTACAAGCCACTCTAAACAATACACATCGACAATACACTCTAAACACCTTCACAGAAGCATACACGAAGCTTGGCCTGTCACTGAACATCGAGAAAACCAAAGTGCTGTTCCAGCAGTCACTAGCCAATCCCTCTCCAATGCCAGAGATACAGCTTAATGGTGTAACATTAGAAAATGTTGACCATTTCCGCTCCCTTGGCAGACACCTCTCTACCAAAGTCATTTCCCCGAATGAAGCAGAGAGTGTTTGAGGACCGGGACATCCGTAGGGATACCAAAGTGCTTGTCTATGAAGCTATTGTCCCCCCAGTCTTGCTGTATGCCTGCGAAACGTGGACTCTCTACAGACGTCACATGCAACTCCTGGAACGATTCCATCAGTGCTGCCTCCGGAAAATCCTGCAAATCTCTTGGGAACACAAGCGGACAAACGTTAGCATGCTGGAAGAAGCAAAGACCACCAGCATTGAAGCGATGGTCCTCTGCCATCAACTCCGCTGGGCCGGCCATGTTGTCCGGATGCCTGACCACCGTCTCCCAAAGCAGTTGCTCTACTCTGAACTTAAGAACGGAAAACGGAACGTTAGTGGACAGGAAAAGAGATTTAAAGGTGGCCTCAAAGCCAACCTTAAAATCTCTGGCATAGACACTGAGAACTGGGAAGCCCTGGCCCTTGAGCGCTCCAGCTGGAGGTCAGCTGAGACCAGCAGTGTTGCAGAATTCGAGGAGGCACGAGTGGATGGTGAAAGAAAGAAACGTGCCAGGAGGAAGGCGCATCAAGCCAACCCCAACCGGGACCACCTTCCACCTGGAAACCCATCATGGAAGACCATCTTACTCGTCCAACGAGGGATCGCCTAAGTAAGTAAGATATCATAGGATTGGTAGTTTTACAAGGTCCTTCGTCTTCTTCAGCAAAGGGTGCTGGGGCCTTGTCAAATAACAATTCCCAGGATTCCATCGCATGGAGCCATGGCAGTTAAAGTGGTATCAAACTGCATTAACTCTCCAGTGTAGATGAAAAGGGTAGGCGGAATTAAAGTCAAACATGCTTCTGGATGTGAGAATCTTTTGGGAGGAGGGTTAAAGCATTCATGGATGGGACTGATTGGGGATGATGGGATTGCAAAGGTTGGTGGCTAGGACAGTGAGGAATGTGGACTAGAGGTCTAAGGAGAGATTGCCAGGGCTAAAGGTTGAGGCTGGACCTATTTTTTATTATTTATTTACAGTATTTATATTCCACCCTTCTCACCTCGCAGGGGACTCAGGGCAGATTACAATGTACATGTACATGGCAAGCATTCAGTACCATAGACACACAGCATATATAGACAGACATACAGAGGCTATTTAACATTCCAGCTTTCATGAGGGTATTCTGGCCACCAAGGGAGCTTTCTCTTCACCGTCCATTTGAGACACTGATGAAGTACTTCCTCATTCTTTGCAGGCTTGCTGGAGATTTTTATGGCGTCATAAATTAGTTAAATTAGCCTCCCCGCATAGGAGGAACCTAAATTTCCTACTTGACAGATGCAACTGTCTTTCGGTCTGCAAAGATCAACAACAAGCTACACAAATTGGTCAGAAGCTCACACCGACCTGGGCTGGCTTTGAACTCATGACCTTTCGGTCAGTAGTGATCTTAATTCAGCTGACTCCCAGCCAGCTGCGCCAGAGTCCCTACATCACCATATAATACATGATATAGCAACATAGGTCCAGCCTCAAACTTTAATCTTGACAATCTTTCTTTAGATCTTCTCTGGACTCTTCTACATTGCCATATAATCCAGATTATCAAAGCAGATTTTTTTTTTTGTCAGGAGCAACCTGAGAAACTGCAAGTCGCTTCTGCTGTGAGAGAATTGGCTGTCTGCAAGGATATTGCCCAGAGTTTGCCTGGATGATTTTTGATGTTTTATCATCCTTGTGGGAGGCTTCTCTCATGTCCCCGCATGAGGAGCTGGAGCTGATAGAGGGAGCTCATCTGCCTCTCCCCGGATTCGAACCTGCGACCTGTCGGGTCTTCAGTCCTGCTAGGACATGAGCCACTGGGGGCTCCTATCAAAGCAGATAATTGGGCTGCTGTGAGTTTTCTGGGCTGTATGGCCATGTTCCAGAAGCATTCTCTCCTGACGTTTCACCCACATCTGTGGCAGGCATCCACAGACGTTGTGAGGTCTGTTGGAAACTTGACAAGTGAGGTGTATATATCTGGAATGATATCCAGGGTGGGAGAAAGAACTCTTGTCTGTTGGAGGCAAGTGTGAATGCTACAATTGATCACCTTGATTAGCATTGAACAGCCTTGCGGCTTCAAAGCTTGGCTGTTTCCTGCCTGGGGGAATCAATTGTTCAGATGTGTTAGCTGGCCCTGATTGTTTCTTGTCTGGAATTCTACGGTTTTGTGAGTGTTGCTCTTTGTTTTGATTTTAGAGTTTTTAAATACTGGTAGCCAGATTTTATTCATTTTCATGGTTTCCTCCTTTCTGTTGACATTGTCCACGTGTCTGTGGATTTCAGTGGCTTCTCTGTGTAGTCTGACACGGTGGTTGTGAGAGTGGTCCAGCACTTCTGTGATCTCAGATAATATGCTGTGTCCAGGTTGGTTCCTCAGGTGCTCCGCTATGGCTGACTTCTCTGGCTGAATTAGTCTGCAGCGCCTTTCAAAGCAGATAACGCACATTGTCTGCTTTGAACTGGATTATATGAGTCTAAATTGCCACATAATCCAGTTCAGAGCAGAATTTGGGTTGTATATGGTAGTGTAGAAGGGATCTGGGAATCTAGATCCTCCAAGGAAGATCTAGGGTCAATTTCTGCTGATACAGAATACTTTTCCAAATGAAAATTGCGGATGCACTTTAGTATGTTGTTTGCGGTTCATTCGTTCAGTCGTCTCTGACTCTTCGTGACCTCATGGACCAGCCCACGCCAGAGCTCCCTGTCAGCCGTCACCACCCCCAGCTCCCTCAAGGTCAGTCCAGTCACTTCAAGGATACCATCCATCCATCCATCTTGCCCTTGGTCGGCCCCTCTTCCTTTTGCCTTCCACTTTCCCCAGCATAATTGTCTTCTCTAGGCTTTGCTGTCTCCTCATGATGTGGCCAAAGTACTTCAACTTTGTCTCTAGTATCCTTCCCTCCAGTGAGCAGCCGGGCTTTATTTCTGGAGGATGGACTGGTTGGATCTTCTCGCAGTCCAAGGCACTCTCAGAACTTTCCTCCAACACCACAGCTCCAAAGCATCTATCTTCCTTCGCTCAGCCTTCCCTAAGGTCCAGCTCTCACATCCGTAGGTGACTACAGGGAATACCATGGCTTTGACTAGGCGGATCTTTGTTGCCAGTCTGATGTCTCTACTCTTTACTATTTTATCGAGACTGGACATTGCTCTCCTCTCAAGAAGTAAGCACTCTAGTATACGGGCACCCAAATGCAAGCCCTATCTAGCTGTGTCTGCACATGGCACAAAACTGGAAAAAGCAGTAGCAGAGAACTCGGGGAAAATGCAGCCACATCAGGAAATGCTTTGGGTGGCTTTTTCCTCTCCAAAGCACTTGCTATTGATGCTGGGAAGGATGATTTGCATGCCAGCCTGACACTTTCGAGTCTAACAATCCTTTGCTCTCTTCCTGCCAGAAGGAGGGAAGTCACTCTCCATTCCATCTTGGCACGCAAAGGCCCTCTTGGCCGCCTCCGTCTCATTTAAGAGATCGGGTTTTGGCTCTCAAACGTAAGGTATGGGCCAAGATGCCATGCTTGCCCAGGCAAACCTTCATGACTTTGAATGGGGCTTGGCAACGTCAACTCAACCACGGCCCTCGTTGGACCAGTCATCCAATTAAAAGAAACTCCAGACGTAGCAGAAGAATTCTCCGTGACATTCTGGTTATTGGAACTTATGATCATATACACAATAAAATCAATACCAAGAAAGCAGATCATTAAACCGACAATCAGTCAGCATTTAGAAAGGAATGCCTATAATACTCACAAAAAGTCAACAAGGGTTTCACAAAATCAAGTTACACCTGGCAAACATTATCTCTGGGTTGTTGTAGGTTTTTTTCGGGCTATATGGCCATGTTCTAGAGGCATCCTCTCCTGACGTTTCGCCTGCATCTATGGCAAGCATCCTCAGAGGTAGTGAGGTCTGTTGGAACTAGGAAAAAGGTTTAATATATCTGTGGAATGACCAGGGTGGGGCAAAGGACTCTTGTCTGTTGGAGCTAGGTGTGAATGTCTCAACTGACCACCTTGATTAGCATTTGATGGCCTGGCAGTTGTTTGGTGTGGCTTGTAGGTGCCTGGGGCAATCTTTTGT